GGAAACTCAGCTGTGAAACACCTTTTTGGGGGTGAAGTGATCGTACAGAAGCTATCTGGACACGCCTCCTGCAGAACATAAAACAAAATCACTATGATAAAACCATTAGTCATTAACAAACTGTCTTTTGTCCACACATTGCCCGGGACACTCCCCTTGTTTGGCCCTGAACCTGCTTTTCTTGCAATAGGGGTACTTTTAACAGCAGTCGGCCATAGTTCGACAGGGGTCTGAGCGGAGACAGGGGATACACATGTTCATGGGACATGTATTTATACCTGTGTTGGAATAAAGAAGGTGGTGGTACAAAACTGATTAATTCAATTTTACTAATGCCGTTTTATAGCAATACGCCCATAATGTTTCCTAGATTGTATTAGGTGTGATAACCTTTTGTCGAAAAATAGATGGACAATTACAGATTTGGAAATGAATTATTTATTAGTTATTTAATGTGTTATTTCCCCGGATACGTAAGAAGGTGAATCAAAGGTTAACCTGGCCTTTTCCGCAAAGGAATCTTACTATGAATATCCATTTTAAATGATATTTATTATTATCAGTATATTCCACATACCTAAAGATGTATAATTACGTTGAAGAAATTCATAATTCGTTAAAGTGTGCTTGTTATTTATTTATTTATTTATTTATTTATTTATTTATTTATTTATTTATTTATTATTTTTGCCAAGTACAGTTGTTAAATTTAAACAGATTCGGTGCGAACTAGGTATGAAAGCTGAACCAAGAAAAATGTTTTGTATATGCGTAGTCTAGGACTTCTTGCACATGTGACACTTTAAAATATCATAGGGTCATAATATTTTATTTTGTTCTTGGTTTAAACATAGCTCCACAAAACGGAAGAAAGCGTGACGTTTAAGTGTCCTTTTTTGCCAAGTACAGTAACTACATTTCGACTGAAGTAGGTACAAACTAAAGTAAAGAAAATTGAATAAAAATGTTTTGTATATGCCAAGGACTTATTGCACATGTGACTCTTTTCTGTTCTACAAATGTATACTGAATGTACAACAACAATAAAACAATAATTATACAATATAATGTGTGTTTAATAATGTTCTGACACGTTCATGACATGTTTGGCACATATGATTAATTAATGTCTCAAAAACGGCTCATTTCATGAACGTTCTTGTGATCAGAAAATATAAAATAATTCCACACAACACACGCACTATATCTGTATTTAAAGTATTTATTGTACACCAAACCTCAAAATTGCGTTGACCTACCCCTCCAAAACCAACTTTGTTAAAACAGTCCCTATGATATTATTACCTCGATCTTGGATCTCTTTGGCAAATGAATTTTCAAATCCAGTTACAAGATAAGAATAGATAAGCTTAGATGAGTACATAGTAATTAATTCCCCGCGATTGCAATAAATAATTGGAAAACTTCTCACTTATAACTAATATAAAAGTTTTTGTCGCAATCTAGCAATGGCGGCTTTCTCTCTGCGTCGCGCCCGGAAGTAAACAATGTATATGGCAATGGTTCCAATGAGCACCGTCCCTATTATGCAGCTTAGGATAATTTGGTGTTTTATAGCCGCATCCAGCTTTGCCTTAAGGTCTGTAAATGAAACATTACAATCGGTATGGACAGAGATCAAATAGATAGTAAAACAGAACAGATTAGAAAAAGTTCAAATAATGATTTACTTTGTAAGTTTCTGATTAAAGTGAACCTGAGTTATATTATCAATCATGTTTGGGAAATTTTAAACTTTTTACTTAATCCCAATACAAACTGAAAGTGTGCCTGTGAAATCTTTCACCCCAACACTTGGGAATTCATCAGCCATACTGAAGTCATGAGACAGTGTATAGTGAACAGTTTAGTGAGAACTGATCACTATTAAACTGTCCCAGACGCGGAAAACTTTGTACCACCCCCACCCCCTCACCCCGATTCTTTTTAAGTGATGGTCCCCGGCCCTGGATTTAAATACCCCCCCTTCATCCCTCGATTGAACCTCAGGGGGTAATGATCCAAGATCTCCACACTGCCCCAACTGATTGAATGATTGGGTGCATCAGTGGAAGTGAGAAGATTAAAATTTTCTCAACACGGTTTAAGTTTGTTTTATTGTCTTCAAGTGGTTCATTTAATAGAAACTAGTTACTTACTCGTCACAGACTTTTTTAAAACTAATTTAATATTTTTGCTTTACTCCCTGTAAAGAGAGACAATTTACTACACTTCGACCGTTGCCACTCCCATATACATTATTTTATATGTTCTATATGCACAACAGGAGTAGTAAAACATGAAAAGAGACAGAGAATGAGAGAGGTTGACAAGATGCCCCACAGCAAAACAAACCTGGGCTTATATCTTCTGCATCTGTTAATTTTCCGTGAGGCCAGTCAACTGGTATGTGTTGCATCCCAGCAGTAACAGCACCATTCGTGACCATTGAAGGGGTACCCGGTGGACTCGGCTGTCTTCCAGGACGCATTTGCACCACTGTCAGGGTATCACCCTTCTGTCCTTTCTGTCCAATTGCACTCATCCCCTTCATTCCTTTAATCCCCTTCATTCCTTTCATGCCCATTTCTCCTGTCGCACCAAAATTCCCTACATTTCCCATCATTCCCTTCTGACCTTTTTGGCCCTTTATGTCACCAGGCGGTCCAACCATACCTTTCAAACCTGTAATATTGATATCCTTAATGTGTCAATACATTATTCACAATAAGTGAAATCCAGCTCATATAATACCAGTTCTCGGCGATTTCATAAAATGTGATTGTTATTAATTGTTCTTTCTAGAAATCCATTTTATGCCAGTTAGACTTAACCAGGTGTACTAATGGACATCCTGGGAAATTTTAATTTCATCCCAAGGGTGCGTTCATTAATTACCCACGCCCTCTTCCATACTATAATAACTACAATATCTTCTGTATTTCCCTGTCATCAAGTCGGTTAACTAGGCATAAGGGGTGGTAGTTTGAGTGTGTAAACAATATTAATGTTGAATCTGGAGAATTTTTTGCCTGGGAAAATATTGACTTCATGCTTCCCTCCCTTAATCAAATTTAGGCAGCTTTAAGGTATGACCGACTCAATAACCATACTCGGGATGAAGTTGAAGAAAAGTTGTGTATATGACAAAGGTAATGTTCAGTTTGATTTATTTCCTTTGGTCTTACCTTTGGGCCCTTCTGTTCCTGGGGGTCCACCAGTGCTTATTCCTTGTGGACCTCCGGTTCCTTGGGGACCGCCTGTTCCTGTTGGTCCTCCTGCACCTGGTGGCCCTCCAGTTCCAGGTGGTCCTCCAGTTGCCTGTGATCCTCCTGTCCCTGGTGGTCCTCCTGTCCCAGGTGGCCCTCCAGTTGCCGGTGGTCCTCCTGTCCCTGGTGGCCCTCCAGTTCCAGGTGGCCCTCCAGTTGCCGGTGGTCCTCCTGTCCCAGGTGGCCCTCCTGTTGCCGGTGGGCCACTTGTCCCTGGTG